GCCTTGACGGCCGCTGCGGTCTCGTGTCTCTCTCGGTCCACCTCGCGTTGCGGGTGTGCTTTCTTCCGTCTTTTCCGAGCGGCGAGTTTCCTCGCATCAATCCATCTCTGCAGAGCTCGGTTCTTGCCTGTGGTGTTTTGACGAGGAGGGTGCAGCACTCCCTCCCCGCGGTGCCCGCGGTCGTCTCCCTTCTCCCGCGAGCGGTGCTTACTGACGTGGTGTTTACGAATCTCTCTACTCCTCCAGCTTCGTGGGCCACGCTTTCCGCGACGGTGGTTGCCAGGTGCAGTTTGCCGCTTTGCATTACTGCCGCGGGAACAGTGTCCATACACACCTCTCGCCACTACCACCGTCTGTGCATCCTCACCGCCACGCTGAGCCAGCGCGGCGGTGAGTTGCACCTTGGGACACCACCCGCCTACTATCTGTTGTGTCCTGGTTCGCCCGCGAGGGACTCACTAGGTCGATTTCGGCCCCGGCCGGGGAGCAGGCCGAGGAGGGGGAAAAATATGTGACCTCGGTTGGGTCTAGCTAGTAGAAGTGGAGGATGGGGGCCAGAGGGGCAGACGACAGAGTCCAATGATGGGAAAAAAAGAAAAAAACGTAGGAGGCGTCGGGTGCGACTTTCAGAGCCAGTTGCGTGTTGTCGGCAGCACAAGCGACGGGGGCAACACCGGTCGATCTGCTGCCTGTCCTTCTATCTGAAGGCCAATCTTGGGGCTTCCCACACAGATGCACCCCCCAAAACAGAGACAACGAGACTTGCACTGCTGCAGGCCAAGGACGGCCAAAGGACCACGTCATACTAGGCGTCGGGATCGATTTTCGAAACCAGTTGCCTGCTGCCAGGAGCGTATAACGGGGAAAACAAGGACACACTAGTCAATCTGCGGTCTGTCTCGTCTCGCTGCAGGCCGATATTTTGATCCACAACAGATGCACCGCTGAACAGAAAGTGTGAGACGTATGCACTGAACTGACTGCTGCAGGCCAAGGGCGACCAAATGCACACATTAGAGGCGCCGGGGGCGACTTTTCAGAGCCCTTGGTTGCTGCTAGCAGCGTCAGCGAGGGAAGCAAGTACAGCAGTAGTGCACATCCACACAGCAGCAGCAGCAGCAGCAGCAGCAGCAGCAGCAGCAGCAGCAGCAGCAAAGCAGCTGATTGATGTGAGCTTCGTCCACACGCTGCAACACAGCAGAAGTCCTGCATACACGTCTGACTGGTGCTGTCGGGTAAGGTGTGAGCGCGTGCAGTGGCAGTGGTGGCCTCTGCGTAATGGCTCCATCGATATTCATATCAACGCCTGCCTGCTTTCCTCTCTCTCCGCCCCTTCTTCGCGCTTCGCGCAAAATTCCTAACATATTTTTTGTTGTACCCCTAGACTCTATGCAGGGAGGTGAGCCCTCTTTTATGTTTTCTGGACGTTCACATGGTGGAAGTGCTTGAAACGCCGATATTTGCTGCGTTGCACTGGCGCGTGACGCGAGCGTGGTGTAAATGGGTTGTAATTTTTTTGCGGTGTTGGCGCCCGCCTTGCGTTGGTGTTCCGTCTGCGTAACCACGACCCCTTCTGACAGAGGACGTCGCTGACATCTTCGTTGCTCCCACCCCCTCGGCCGACGGATTCTTGCGACATGACCAATGGAGCTCCTCAGGATCAAGGAGACAAGTCCGAGCTGTTGTACTCTCGGTTCATCTACTGCTCGACGACGACGACTCCAAGTGGTACATCAGGTGAGGCGGGCGCTTCGTATTCTTTTCTGCCTGGTTGCGTTTGGTCTTCATCTGGTTCTTGTTTCTCTGTGGAAGACCGTCACAAGGTCCCCCGCACCCGTCTCACCCTCAGCAATTCGTCACCGTCACGTGCCAGCAACAGATGCGGTATGTGTGTATGTGCTTTTATTATTAGCATCGACCGCACTAACCGGCTGACCAATGAAAAGACGTCAGTCTCAGTGCGGCGTATGTATGTGTTTTTATTATTAGCATCGACCGCGCTAACCGGCTGACCAATGAAAAGACGTCAGTCTTAGTGCGGTTGAAAACACAAAACACTTCTATCTACCATGAACTGGGACCCCGTGAGGGGGCAGCATGGGGGAGGCTAAACTATCCTTCGGATTAAAAACAGAAACAGCAGCAACAGACGAAAAATGCACGCGTCTACCAAGGCTATTACCTAGTACTCGAGTTCGTTTAGGAGTACTTTCACCAGTGTCCTCCTTGTTTTCGCTACCATCATTCTGATCCTCATTTCGACAAGAAGAATCTCTGGGCAGTTCTTCCCTAGCCCTACGTTTCTTGTTGTGGGGAAGGTCATCTGGCTCAAACCCTTTGCTCTCTTCCACTCCTCCATGTTTTTCTGCTCCATCGTCGTCATCCTCCTTTCTCGCCTTTCCCTTTCCTTCGTCTTCGTCACTCCCAAAAGAATTTCCCTCATGTGTGTGTGTTGTGTGTGTGTGTGTGAAAAACGAGGTACCGTTAGATGCCCTCATGTGAGCAACGGCCGTTATTCTCTTGCATACGTAGACAATGTAGTGTCGCCGAGGATACTCATGGGAGCTGCTGTTGACTGCTCGTGCGGAACGCAGCACACGCATTGTTGATGCGTGTGCCTCTTGGCTAAAAATGCTGTGACCAATCTGCACGCATACATTCATGCACCGGGCAGCTTTGAGGCAGGGTACGCTCACTCTGCGCACACGCACACATGATGCACCCGCGTCCGACTCTCCAACGCGCATGTTTGTCTCGGCACCAGGCAACGGAACCCGAGAAGAGGTAACAGCGCATTGGTTGTGGGGGTGTCTCCTCACCTCATGGAGTAGTCTAGTTCAGTTCCGGAGGTCTTGGCTGTAGCTGTGTCTTTGCAGGGCAGAAGTTGCCGCGTCTACGCAGTAGTACTGCTGGAGTCTGTGTACACCGCCGGTGCCAATGGGGTTCCTGCTTGCTTGCTTGTGGATGATCTCGCTGCTTCGCTGGGGTTCGTCTCGACGTCCGTGATGGGTATAGCCACGGTCTGTGTTGTGTAAGCGAGACGGTGCCCTACAACAGTAGTGTGGTGCGATGGTACGTGGTCTGGTTGCAGCCTGCTGCTGGGGTGGATTTCTATCTGAACAAGAATTTGAGGGTGCTTGGTTGATGTGCAAGGCGGGGAACCGGCGGGAAAGGCGGGGAACTGGCGGGTAAACCACTCTTGAAGGTCCAACGTGATGACAACCGCTTCCACAGTTCTTTTGCATGGCATGGTGGAGATGCTGACTTCATGATTCCGGATGGCATCGTTCCGAGATCGTAACGGCGAATTGACAACGCCGACGCCAACGGGACAATATCTTGTCGGGATGTTGTGCTGAACAACGAAAATCGCAAGGTCATCACTTACCGATGTCGCTGCCTAGTCGATTTTCTTGCTGCTAGTTCGTTGTACTGGGGAGTCATTTCATTGATCGGATGTTTCCCTGCCTTCGTGGAGATTCAACTGCAACCTGGAACCAGCTGCCTGGAGGCGGGTCACCTTCCCCACGGGACTGTGGACGAAACGCTATTATACTTCATTTTTCGGCGGGGGGATCTGAACACGACCAACCAACCACGACCCCGATCTATCTATTACTCGGCACGCTCGGCGCGCTTGGCGAGCTCCCGTTCTTTCTTCGACATTATTGAAGAGTGGGTTGTAGAGATGCGCGCAGAGAGATGGGACCTGAAAAGTCTTCGATGCATCCGCACAGCATATGAGCGCTCGAAACCGTCGTTCCTTATTAGACTAGACTAGATCTCTTTGTCATATGTTGCATCCATCGCTCAGTACTACCCAACTGCAGGGAACATAGCCCCTCTCTCTCCGAGGTTACATAGACGAACACCCTCTGCGTTGTTTGCCTATATTTCAAATGCACCGAGGTTTTTGCACCTACTTTTTTGTTCTGCTGGACTTGAATTTCCGTTGCGGACGGACCGCCCGCATCATCTGCCGGAGGCACAGACGCCGTTGGCAAATAAATGCGATTTGTGTCCGCTACGTGCTCTCACCACGTGACATGAAAGGTGAACCCACTCAGAATGAAACTCTATAGCATCAGCGTGGGTGTTCATGACTTACTTCTCAGCACATTCGTCACGTGCTCTGCTGCTGCACATCGAAGTTCGAGTGGAGTAATTACACCAGGGGATGGTTTCCAACGGCGGTTCTCCCGAATATGGTGCCTCACACCAGGCGCCAAAGGGGTGGCAAACGAACGACATCAAAATAGCATTTATGCCTGTAGTCTAGTAGACGTGCGCTGGTCTCGTTTTCATGTGAAGCATATCTGATTGTATCTCACCCGGGAATTATCGAGGACCCTATGGACAGCACGCCATGGAATCCCTGTCTTGCGGTAACCGTCCCTCCATGACGCGAGGTGCTGGACACCCGCTAATTCAAGCTCATATTTCACAAGCCCGAAGGTAAACGGCTACACCCAGTGAGTGTATTGAGCGGGTACGGGTGCGTGAAAGGGAGGGTGTTTGTGTGCACTGCCGCCCTCAGCGGTCTGTGATGTTGAGACTGGGTACTATGCTATCCCGGGAACAGCAGATGAAAAGGACCATGTATTATATTTATCCGTCACGCAAGCCCCTCAGGCAAGCTGGTCACCAACACGCAAGCCCCTCCGGCAAGTGCCGGGAGCACACCGCCGTGTGCTCCACCGGGGGGACCGCACTTGGAACCCAACCGCAAACAAACCCATCACACCCATACTTCCCATACGAGTATCCCCCACAGAGGATGCACAGATCGGACTCATATCCAAGTACCACAAACAGCCTACCTACTTGATACGATGTACGATCTTGCAACCCTTCACGCGCAATCAGCCAACATAGAAAACCACCCCTTGAGAGAACTTACTCGACAAAACTGGCTACACATTCAACACAACGCGTCTCCATCAGTTTATTCACGAATCCAACGCGTTCGTCTCTGGAACTAATCTCAAACCGTTGACACCAAAGAATCATCCTCAGCAAGGTACCCAACACTTATTTGTGCTACATCAGAAAGGCGTCGGAACGAAAACGGATATTTCTGGAAAAAACAACTTTGTAAGAGTTGACACCAAATCCTCAAACAAAACAAAAACTCAACTTCTTGACCAATCAAAACGATAATTCGGAAAGCACAACAGCGCGCACCCGCTAATCGGTACCGTCGCTGTTGTCCAAGAAACGATAAAAAACGTAAGCAAGCATCCACGCAAACAGCCCCCCTGCTGTCAGCTCCCAAAATTCACCCCGAGCTAATATTTCGATGCCAACAGCGCCCTTGCTTTGCCGTTCACCTAACACACAAGTAGGCGCGACCAGAAAACAAACCAATTCGATTGCTGCTGATGCCCTCTAGAATCATGGTCATACATGACATCATAACATCCCCCCCCATGATTTTCGATGCAAGAGCAGCAAAACATGCGATACAAACCAGAACATGAAAACACGAAACACAAAAGGCATCAAACTCCAGAAAAAGTTCGTACCGCATGCAAACTGTCTCCTCAACTGGAACTCCGAAAGCCCCCTCTGCTCCCTGATCGGTATGCCTTCATGCATGTCAAACAACGCGCTATCATCCCAATTCGTGCGCGCGGCCAGAAACACACCCCAGAGAGCGACCACTTAACTCAGGACCTCACATAGAAACCAACGTATCGAAGCATTCTAAGTGCAAAGTGTCCAGTTCGTAGAAAAAATAAAAACTCGACTGAACGTACTCCCTGCAAAGAATACGGGAATAGTATGAAGCATTCAGCTGCAAGGTCAAACGTGACTGAAAAAATACCAAGAACTAAGGAAAAAAATACCCACGTGCCGCTTCCTATTCCACAGGCTGTGACAATGATTATCTTGTCGCAGCGTACAATTATTATCATGAAACCAAGTTCAAAAAAAAAAATTACGCACACGCCGTGGAATTCACGTGTTTTCTGCATCAAAGTGCACGGTGCGCTAGCAAGGGAAAAACAGAACAAAAAATAAATGCGAAGCCTAATGGCGAAGCTAAAACGTACATGCCTGCTCACAAAACCAAACAAAGTCGTAAACGTTTCACATGTTCTCCCACTTGGCTGTAACAAGGTGAGGTCGTCGCTGTCACCGTGTCCTCCCCGTTCCCGGTACTCGAGGGCGCCACCGCTGCTGCCGCCGCTGCCATCGCCGCCGTTGCCGTTACCCCGCCGCCACGACCGTCCTGAGTTCCAGCGCCAACACGGCTGCCGGTGACGTCGCTGCTGCCGCCTCTACCACCGCCGCCGTGGTCTCCGCTGCCGCCGACGGGGCTCTGGCCAAAGCCGCCGCTGCCGTCGTCTGCTTCCGTCGGAGCTCTGGCCGAAGCCACCACTCCCGTCGCTGCTCCTGCTGAAGGGGTACGCCACACCTGGTACCGCCCCCCGTCTCCTCGCGCCACGCGAACATGTCGTACCGGGGTCGAAGGGGTGCGTCGGGGCTCCACTCCAGCTTTCATCCAACCCCACGTCCTCGCTCCCATCGCCGCCGCTGTCCTCGCTGCTGCAGCTGCTGCTACTGCCGCTGCTGATGCTGCTGTTGCTCACGCCCCCCCCCAGCACATAGGCTATCAAGCTCCTAGAGGACTGGCAATGGCATGGTTGTCGCACCAACCGCTTCCTCCAACTATTTGTCACATACCTCCGTCACCGATCCCGCCACCGCCGATGCTGTTGTCGGGAACGGCGTTCTGGCCGAAGCCGTCCGCACCACCTCCGCTCCCGCCGATGCTGCTGTCGGTGACGGCGCTCTGGCCGAACCCGTCCGCGCCGCCGCCGCTCCTGCCGATGGTGGTGCCGCCGCCGCCGCTGCGGCCGTCTGTATACCTATTGCCAACGCGGCGACCGGGGACGCCGCTGCTGCTACTGCCGCTTCCGACGAATGCTTGGATTGTTGTGATTCCGCGGACGGCGAAACTACAACAACGTGATACGATCCAAGCATGTGTTCCTCCGCTACACGTCTACTGCTGTATCCGCCCTCCGTGAGATTCAGCTCATCGCGTTGCCGCACTACTGCAAGTGCTACACGTGATGCCGCGGGCCGCTGGGGAGAGCGAGTGGCGGTGTGTGTGTGTACGTTGAGAGAAGCTACGCTGGCGGGGGCTTCTACCGACAAAGACGCCGCAAACGAATCGGCAGCAGTCCCCCTCCCCTTCTCATCAACGAACACCCCACCACTCACCTGTCCACCTGTACCCCCGGTGAAGCCGTCCGCTAGCTGTTGTTGCCGCGGCTGTTGCTGAAAGTCACCGCCGTACACCACGCCTTGCTGCTGCTGCTGCTGCTGCTGCTGCCGCCGATACACAGACCCGCCGCCAAACTCGCCGTTCCTCCGCCGCTGCTGAAACGGTCCGCGGGCGAAAGCTGGAGCTACAGGAGCGCCGTTGTAGGACAGTAGAGGNTGCCGATACACTGACCCGCCGCCAAACTCGCCGTTCCTCCGCCTATGCTGAAACGGTCCGCGGGCGAAAGCTGGAGCTGCAGGAGCGCCGTTGTGTCAGGAAAATCGTGCGTCGAGACCACCAGTAGTCGGACACGGTTTGACCATTGAATACGATTGCAGCAACTAGTCTGCGTAGCAGTAGAAAATAATCCATATCTCCGTGGCATGTATTCTGTTGTGCTAGAAATATTCCGGAAGCATGCTAGGTCAAGGTTGACCGGGACATCTACGTAGAACGTGTGTAGCTTCTGGAAGTCTTCTGGAAACTTGTGGTTCCTTCTGTAAGCTTCTGGAAGCGTTCTAGATCTAGGTTGCAGTTGATACTCTTCTAGAACGTAGGAGGGCTTCCAGAAATCATTCTGGAAGCATTCTGGATCTTTCGTGTGATTGGCTTATTTGTCCGGTATTCGAAATGAGCGGTGCAGCCCTAAGCTCGCCCACCACTCTCCCTCCTCTTCAGTACCAGCAACATCAATCTGACTCGGGAGTTAGCAACTAATAAAAGCATCATCATATTTCCATTCCAAGTCTCTCGCGGTTGGAGACGCACAGAGTGTGAACCTCTGAGGTAGGCTACACAGCCTCCTGGCATCTGCAGCATCGTACTGCTGCTAGTGCACAGCGAAATATCGCTGACAGGTTATGAGCTTCGGCTAACGCACACACTACGAGCTGCGAACATCAAGGGAAATCAAGGCAACCACTTCTCGGGACATCAACCTTCATCCGTGGACAACGAGAGAACCTGGTTTCGGATATTTCTGGAGATTGCGACGCCGTCATCGGTCAACGGCAACACAAGCAGACGCGCAAACTTGGTCATCTACACCAAGGTGCTGAGGGTTCACGTCGTATACACACGTTACCACCCCTGTGGCAGTAGCGGGTATCTCTGTGGTGAACTAGCAGCAAGGGTCACGTGCGCGGGAGTCTCGAGCGGCATACGCATCGGGTGTACAAGGAACTACACTGTATCATCAGTGGAGGCGATCAACAACCGGAGTCCTCTATATCAGTAGCAGGAGCGGGATCGGAAACAAGAAAACCACAACCGGAGTCCTCTATATCAGTAGCAGGAACGGGATGGGGAAGACTCGGGTACAGGCAGTTGTACCACGAGCAAATATACTCCTACAGCAGGAAGTACTTTTATCAAGACGAAGAAAATAAAGCTGGAACGAGCAATGGATACTGCAACGAGCAACACAGGAGGTGGAAGCGCGTTCGCCAGCGATAGTTCTACGAACCTGGCAACCGTGATCAAAGGCCTCAAGAAATTCGACGGAAAGGACCCAGCTGAGTTCAAGACATGGATGAAGAAATTCTGCGTGGTGTTAGGTGTGACCAGGAAGGACATCCTGCCACTGCTGAAGAAACAAAGGAAGCCAGATCCCGCAGACACAGCGGCCTTCGACTCCTACACAAGGGCAAACGAAGATCTCTACGCCATTCTTTTCCTCCTAGTGGAACTTCCAGCCGCCTTGTCGATACAGAAGCACGAAGACGACACTGGCATCAGCGGCGACGGACAAGCTGCCTTCGAGGAGCTCTGCAACAACTATGACAGGGTAACGGACGAGGTCATCAGGGCCAAGATGGAGGAGCTGGAGAACAACCCCATGAACCCTGGTGAAAATCCCGACGACTACTTCAACCAGAAGCACCTACTTCGCACCCAGCTGGATAAGATGGGAGAACCCATCTCCGACCGCCGCTTCAAGGACATCTGCGTACAGGGCTTCTCTGACGAATACAAGGACGTCAAACTGATGGTGTTCAGAGACCCAACCTTCAACGTCCTGGACATGCAATCCACCATGCGCAACATCTTCTTGGACGAACAATCGCGCAAGGGATGGAAGGGACGCATAGCTGGTCGAGGATTTGCCATGGCAACGACCGCGTCTGACATCATCTGCCACAGCTGCTACGAGCCGGGGCACATCAGGAGGAACTGCCCCAAGATCAAGAACAGGGCGAAGAAGAAAACGAAGCCCGCCGGAGCTACCAAGTGGTGCTCCAAGCACAACACCACGTCTCACTCGGACGAGGAATGCTACCAGCAAGGAGGAAAGCGCCCGGAAGACACCAAGGACTCAAGTAAAGCATTCACCGCGTGCTCCAACTGCACTCACTGCTCGTCGGCGTCCAACAAGCACGACTCAAACAATGAAGTGGCAGTTGTCGACTTCACCCGGGACGAGGACGCCTTTGACAGCGGCTTCATGTTCGGCACGTGTTCCCGCATCTCAGGACGCAACTTCGCCGCGAGCTCCACCGGGGTAGGCCTGCTGGTAGACACGGGAGCATCGGAGACCATGTTTGACAATCGCCTCATCCCCGACGGAAACCTCCACGATTACACCCAGCGAAACTCTCCAAAGATCGTGGACGTGGCCGGAGAAAGACAACTCAAAGACACGGCCACGGGCATCCTACACTGCACCGTCAAGGACAATCGAGGACAGCAATTGCGCGTGCGGATTCAGGGACTCATCGTTCCGGGACTTGGTCGCAACATTTTTTCGCCCACCTCCCTCCTGAAAAAGGGATTGCGCTGCGTCGTCGAAGAGAGCACTCCGCACCTCACTATCCAAGGCAAGGTGATTCCACTCACACAAGATCCGCGAGACCAAGGCATGTGCACCCTCGACATCACGTTCGAGCAGAACGTCCAGCCATCTGGCACGAAATCCCTCGTGCCCCACCAGAAGCAGTCACAGACCCACACGGCGAACGCCGTCTGCTTTACGCTAGTGAGCGCGGACACCTGGCACAGGAGGCTTGGACATCTCAATGCTCGGAGCCTGGACATCCTTCGGAAGGACACGGGTACCGGGGTGGACTATCGCGACAGTCTCTCCCCTTGCGGGGTCTGCCAGATCGCGAAACACAAGCAGTCCCCCCACCCGAAGCAATCGACTCGCGAACTATCACGGCCTGGACAGCTTGTGGTCATCGACAACATGGGGCCTGTTAATCCACCTGCGAAATATAAAGGAGGCTCCTTCCCGTACGCGTGCAAGATCACCGACGACTACACGAAGATGAAAGAAGTTTACCTGCTTCGCAAGAAATCTGACACGACCGAGGCGGTGCACACGTACAACATGTGCGTCGCAGCGGCAGGAGGCTACCGGATCGAGACCATCCGCTGCGACAAGGGAGGCGAGAACACCGGATCCGAATTTCGGGACTACTGCAAGAATTCAGCTATCAAGCTCGAATACGCCGCCACCAACACCCCTCAACAAATTGGTGTATCGGAACGGGACGGACAAACCCTGGCCGGAGTCACCCGGTGTCTTCTGAAGGATGGAGATTTTCCGCCGTCCATGTGGGGGGAGTTAATGCTGACTGCAGCATACCTGTTGAACAGGTCCCCACACTCAGCACTGGGAGGAGCTACGCCATACTCGAAGTTGCACAATAAGTCACCTGATCTCTCGGGACTTCGGGTCATTGGAGCGCGCGCCTTCGTACACCACGAGAGATACCGAAAGAAGCTGGACGACAGAGCTTTCGAAGGCAAGCTATGTGGTTTCGGCCTCGACAGCCAGACCTACCGGGTATTGAATCCATCCAACGGGGCCGTGGTCGAGAGCCGGAATGTGACTTTCATCGAATCTCCACCCCGCTCAGTGCCCTTCCAGTATTCCACTGAAGCAAACGGGTACGAGAGCGACGTGCTGAGCTTCACCTCCCTGCTGGACAGCCCCCACTCGACGAGCGACCTGGACTTCGCGGCGCAGAACGAACTCCTTCGGCAAGAAGTCCGGAAGATGCAGCAAGACAATCTCGCTCGGGAGAAGCTTCGCCTAGAACTGGACGGGCACGAGGACGAACATGGAAACGGGCAAGATCTCGGCGACGGGGACGCTCCATCACCACATCTCCCATCGACGCCAGCTGGATCGTCATCCGAGACCCACGCATCTAGCCCCAGTCCATCATCGTCGAACCCGACTGAACCGGACACTTCTGCATCAACTGGATCCTCCGGCATGCGGCGCCTGCAAGTCACCAGAGCCAGCACGCGCGGGAAGCCCACCAGCGACGATCATATCGACGTCAACTTGGTTCCTGCCAATCTGGAAGTCACCATGAACGACCGCGGTCGAGCCCATGCTACAACGGGCCGCGTGGAGCCATCCGGTCTTTCCTTCACTCAGCTGGCTGAGATAGCCGATCAAGCCCAGCTCCCATGCCCTGGCGATACTGAGGATTTCGCCCACGTTGCGGAAGACCCCTCCACGGTGCCGCGTGCTCACGCCTACGTCACGACCACTCACGAACACCACGGGATCTTGGAGGAGACGAATCAAGCGATCAAAATCCCCAACACCTACGACGAAGCCATGAGCTCTCCCCAGCGCGAAGAATGGAAAGGAGCGTGCAGCAAGGAAATGGACAATCTGCGGAAACACAACGTCTACAATCTGGTGCCCCTCAGCAGCGTTCCCAAGGGAGAGAAGATCCTCGGAACGAAATTCGTCTTCAAGAAAAAGCTGGACGGACGCTTCAAAGCTCGCCTGGTAGTCGGAGGACATCGTCAAGAGCCAGGACAGGACTACGGACGCAGCTACGCACCAGTATGCCGTATCGGGAGCATTCGCATGACGTGCGCCATTGGCTGCCACAACAACTGGCCCATCTACCAACTGGACGTTGTCGGTGCCTTCCTGAACGCCCTCTGCGACAGAGATGTGTACGTCAGACCCGCCCCCGGTACATCCGCCAAGAACTCCGCGACGGGAGAACCCATGATGTACAAACTAGAACGGAGCCTCGACGACCTATCGCAGCCGCCGGCGCTCTGGAACGACACCCTGGACGTTCTTTTTCATACGGGAGCTAGTACTGTGGGGACAAATCACTCTTCACCACCGGCTCAGCAAGCTCCAGTTGGCCGATATCGCGACCAAGTACCTCCCATAGCACTGATTCGCCTCCATCATTCAGCAGATCAAGGACTTCTCGTGTTGATCGAAGATCTGTGAAGCTTCCTTCCATACCCGCCATACCAGAAGGAATATATTTTCGATACGATGCCAACGGAGGGGGCGAGATGGACAAGGATATGGTGATGATGTCGACCATTGTGAATTAGTTGCTTGATCGAGGGGTCGTGTCAGGAAAATCGTGCGTCGAGACCACCAGTAGTCGGACACGGTTTGACCTTTGAATACGATTGCAGCAACTAGTCTGCGTAGCAGTAGAAAATAATCCATATCTCCGTGGCATGTATTCTCTTGTTCTAGAAATATTCCGGAAGCATGCTAGGTCAAGGTTGACCGGGACATCTACGTAGAACGTGTGTAGCTTCTGGAAGCCTTCTGGAAACTTGTGGTTCCTTCTGTAAGCTTCTGGAAGCGTTCTAGATCTAGGTTGCAGTTGATACTCTTCTAGAACGTAGGAGGGCTTCCAGAAATCATTCTGGAAGCATTCTGGATCTTTCGTGTGATTGGCTTATTTGTCCGGTATTCGAAATGAGTGGTGCAGCCCTAAGCTCGCCCACCACTCTCACTCCTCTTCAGTACCAGCAACATCAATCTGACTCGGGAGTTAGCAACTAATAAAAGCATCATCATATTTCCATTCCAAGTCTCTCGCGGTTGGAGACGCACAGAGTGTGAACCTCTGAGGTAGGCTACACAGCCTCCTGGCATCTGCAGCATCGTACTGCTGCTANAACATCAATCTGACTCGGGAGTTAGCAACTAATAAAAGCATCATCATATTTCCATTCCAAGTCTCTCGCGGTTGGAGACGCACAGAGTGTGAACCTCTGAGGTAGGCTACACAGCCTCCTGGCATCTGCAGCATCGTACCGCTGCTAGTGCACAGCGAAATATCGCTGACACATTGTAGGACTGTAGAGGTTGCTGCTGTTGACGAGGCTGCTGCTGTAGAGGAGCTGCTGCTGCTGGCATACTGCTGTGACATGGGCTGCTGCTGCACCGATGGCTGTGTCACGAACCTCTGCCGCACGCACGGCTGTTGCTGCTGCTGCTGCTGCTGCTGAAAAGTACACCCTCTGCCAAACACGCCGTACCTCCATTGCTGCTGGAACGACTGCTGTACGGGAACACATACACCCCTCCCCGGCCTGCTCCCCGGCCGGGGCCGAAATCGACCTTGTGAGTCCCTCGCGGGCGAACNGCTGTTGCTGCTGCTGCTGCTGCTGCTGAAAAGTACACCCTCTGCCAAACACGCCGTACCTCCATTGCTGCTGGAACGACTGCTGTACGGGAACACATACACCCCTCCCCGGCCTGCTCCCCGGCCGGGGCCGAAATCGACCTTGTGAGTCCCTCGCGGGCGAACCAGGC